TGTCATCCATAAATACTAAGACTAAATTAAATTTGCCATTAGGTAACTTACAGCCAGCACCCCACAGGTAAATGAGCAAAGTCTACTTTTTTACATCTTTGAAATTTAGAAAGAACGGGAGCATAGGAAACAAGTAGCTTCCATGTCACATGCAGTTTGAATTACCCCGCAGAGAAAATTAAATGCATTCCTTGTCAGTTTGTCAATGTTGCATTATACTGCCAGAGTCACACTTGGGTCTCCAAATTCCGACACAAAATCCCTGACTTTGAAATCTACGGGGATACTGACAACAAAGCCACAGCACGTGGCTGCACAGGTTGTGCACTGCCCGACTCCAGAGGGTGTCGATACTGTAGACTATGATGACAGTACAGTGCCCCCCCATACAGTCTTATGCAGCAGTCCTGTCTGAGAGGCTTAAATACTTTCCTGATGAACATACTGAACATCCCGTCCAACAAATTTTATTGAGCATCTATTATGTGTGAGACACTATTCTAAGCTCTGGGGATTCAATAGTGATCACAATAGATATTCACCTGGAGCTTATGCTCTAGCAGAGTGGGGAAGAGAGATAGATGATAAACCAATAAACAAATAAATATCTAGTATATCAGATGCTGGATTGGGATGATAGTAAGGCAAGTTGAGGAGGAAATGAAATCCCAGCAGCAATGGAGGAATTACCATTTGAATAAAGTGGGCAGAAAGGCTTCACTAGTAAGTTGGTATTTTGGATCAGAAGCCTGAAGCAAAGGAGAAACAAGCTGTTGATACAATTGAGGCAAGATTATTCTGAGCAGAGCAAAGAGCAAGTGCAAATGCCCTAAGGCAGGGCAGGATGTAAAGCTCGGGGTGGATGGGAAACCACGGAGAGACCTAGAACAGAGGAGAGGCATCATCTGATTTAGGTGTTGAAAGAATCCTGCTGCCTCTGAGCTAATTTTTATTATGAAAAGTTATGTTTAAATTTCTAAAAATTGCCTAAATTTTTCCCAACTATTCTAACAGTGTTTTTAACCAAAATTAGCAATACAATTTTTAAAATTCTGTCCTTATTTTAAGCTGAGTTTGAATTCAAATGTTTAAGTTAATAAATACTTGACTAAAGTGTTAAACACTGAAACCTTTAGTCTCAATAAGTATTAAAGTATTAATTCATGTATTCTTTTCCAGATGTTTCAATTTGCCAAATAGTCCAGATTAATTCCTACCAATTGTAGGAGAAAGAATCTGAAAAGAAAAATCACAAACATCTTAACTGGGAGGAAAACTGTTTCATGGATTATGGAGGCATCAGAGAAAGTGTTAACTTGGTCAAGGCCTTTGCTGCAGGGAGTTAATTGCTCATGAAACAATTTGCATTTTGTCACGTTAACCTAACTTGTGGGACAGAGTGTTCTGGAATGTAACCTGGCCTTCCAGAAACACTGTCTATTGTTCATTATAATACTGGAAGTTCCAAAAAAAATATCACAGCTGCTTCTGTGCCCACTGTTTCACATAAAATGCAACAAGGTAACAGTTGTGAATAATGCACAGATGTCACCATATTTTCTAAAACATCTTTTACAAATGCATTTATATATGTACAATTCTTTTTTCAGAAACCTCAGCAAATCTCTTTACAAATTTGTTTCAGTATCTATGGAAGGTTTACACATATCTACAAATAACGTATAAACGACAACCAAAAAGACTCACATTGACTTGTCTCCATACTGATAGGCCAACACAGATTCCTTTCACAGTTATGCATATAAATAAACACCCCACAGTGTTTGCAGAAAGTATCTTGTAATAAATAACAACAAAAATGATGTCTGCCGCAAATCTCATTTCTTTTAATGTCATGACTAATTTGCATGACTGAGGTGCTGGCCTTTACATGGCTGATTTTTTTTTTCACTGCTCATACTGCCATTTATTTTTACATTTTGGTTGCATTTTATATCTTTACCTCTCCCTAGCAAGAGTTAGAGGTATGCCCTTCCCCTCCACAATGCTCACCATATCCTCAGGTGTGGGTCTATCCCCCCAACCCCTGAATCCCTGGTGAAGACCACCACCATTTGAACACCAACAGTGTTAATCAGTCAGTACCAATTTGATGGCGAGTACATGTGGAGCCCATTCTTCCGATCTTGTGTCACCTCACTTTGGATAATGGGCTTCAGCTCAATACACGGCTGATTCTTAAGAGTTTGGACACATTAACAGTTGGGCACATCCTGCCTTTAAAATTTCTCATCAGAATCAATGACTATGCTGGGATAATTTATTATGAAGGAAAAGAAACCAACATTGCCAGTTCCTAACATGCTCATGTGGGGTACCTTAAGCCAAGTATTCCTTGAAGTAACCTTACAAAGTAGGAATTATTATACCAATATTATGTAAGAGGAAACTGAAAACAAGGAGGTAAAGTAGCTGCTCCCAAATGTTACAGCTACCCCCTGAAGGTACAGCAAGCCCTGAACTGTCTGACCTGAAAGTCCTTGTCGTTTACTTCTATTGCAGACTGGTTTCAAGGGGCAACACTGTCTTTCTTAATATAGTAAGTGAAATAAAGTTGAATAGCTTCATAATTATCATCACCATTATTTTTCTTTCTAGCTGCTATTTTTTTGAGTGTCTAATCTGTCAGTCCTATGGTCAGAGCTTGCAATCCTTACAGCAATCTTGCAGGGCGAATCTGTCAGCACGTTGGTGCTAGAGACTACTGCATACTTTAGCCAATTTCACTGGTGAATATCCTCATTTTACTGATGAGGAGACAAAGTCAAGAAGTCATAAATAATCCACCCAAGGCTGGGAAGTGGTTGAGCAGGTATTCGGACTGGGGCCTGTCTAACTCCTGTCCCACCGGGCTCTTTTCACATTCTTTTCAGTAGGGCAACTTTAAAAATACATAACATTATACTCAGATTAAATAACCTGAAATTTTATAATTCTATAAGTGAACTCATAACTTGAGGAACTTTATAACTATGCTGCAACACATGATAAAATTCGACTAGACACTTCTGGAAATGATTTTTAAAGTGCCTTTTTACTTGAATACTGTTCAACATTCTCACGGTTTGGTTCAGGTTTTTATGCTCAATTGTTCACTATCCTTTATCCTACGGGCTGGACTCCTGAAACAACTGCGGTCCTAGTGAATCCACAGTGATATAATGAATCATAAGGATATAGGAGTTGTTGCCCTGTTGATGTTCAAGAAATACTTGGCCTTAGTAGGTTGGGAATATTTTCCCCATATTTCTCTAACTAGTTTAAAGAATATAAAGCTTTAAGAAACTCGTAAAAATGGTGGTGTTTAATATTGAATATACAACTGGGGAAGGCTTAGATTAATAAAATGAAGGAATGGGGAGTGACCTGGAAAATAAATTTCTCATCTCTGACCTGCTTTTATATCTTGAAGCTCTTATGATCTAGTTTTAAATCTACACTGCTTTTTATAGTGAATGTTTCTGTTGGGTATAACCAGAGAGGCAAATACAGACTTGGTTTACTTTTTTGACTAAAGGCAAAATAAATACTAATATACAAATTGTTACAGTTTTTATGAATTATGATTTGTCTATTCATTTGCATTTTAGGCAAAATGATTCATAATTTTAAAGTTAAAATCTAGTCTAATAAACCTCTTATGATAAAAAAGGAATAAAATAAGGGTAACTATTGATGTAGATAACAGATCTAATTTGTCAAAATTTTATCCTTAAAAGACTTCTGTTGGGCTAGAAATGTATTCTTCTACTTTGAAAGTATTGAAAGATTTTCCCTTTCCCATTTGAAGTCTTATATTTACAAGAGTGATACATTTTGGCTTATGAGTCTTATAAGATACAATTTTTTACTTAAGATGAAATTCTTCCAAAGGACATACCTAGTCCCTTCAATACCCAAGAATAGGATATAAGGTCACACTATTTTGTAAACTCACAGGAATATTATTTCTTAACTTATATATCAAGAGCATTGATAAACAATTTTTTTTAACTATTTGGCAAATGCGCGAGATATAAACATTAAACTCTTTTTATGCTATGTGTCTTACCACTATTACATATTTATCACTATTGAAAACAGTATTATTATGCCTGCAGGACTGTCCTAGAAAATCTGGGATTCATAGCACCATAATTTTAGGGCTAAATAAACTCCAAAGCGTTATGCATTAAATTGTCCCACTTACAGGTGTTTCATTAAATTCCCTTATTTCTTCAAGTCCAGACTCTACCCAACTCAGTATACCACTCAGGTGCTACAGCCTCCAAAACCATTTCTTGAAACAGTCAGCTGGAAACCAGCTCTCTTCTATGGCCTCCCACGTAATAGCTTCCCCCACTAGTCCTCCCTCAAGGCACCGTCTCTTTCTTCTCCCGTTGTAGTTATTTGCTGATGTGCTGTACTTTCCTTGCCAGACAGCCAGCTCATCAAGGGTGCCATCTGAATCACAGTCGTCCCTTTTGTTACAGAACTCACATGAAGTAGGTTCTCGAGTACCGAGTATTGAATGTGCACTTAATAATTTCTGTTAGCTGTGACAAATTTTCAAAGAAGTGTTTTAGAAAGCACTTGGTCAAGAAAGAAAGCCACAAGAACAGAAAATTCTTCAAGAAGTAAGTCAGAATAACTGGCACATACGAGTGACACATTCAATTTCTTCACCTTTCTATAACCTCCAGAAGATCAAATGTTAATAAAATATTTATCTTCAGTTGTCACAAGCCAGACTTTGATTTAAAACTCTTGGGTACATGAATGTCATGCCAGACCAGAAATACATCATCATGTATTTTTAATTTAAACATGGATATGTAAAAACTTTATATACGCCTCATAGGAAAAAAATTGGAGTGAAAATCTTTCAGCAGTCACCGCAAACAAGAAAACAGAATCTAAAAGTGATTTTTAAACTTCTGTAAAAGTGCAATGAAAGTCCACCGTGGCATTGCAATGACACATGAAACGCACTCTCTTACCTTTAAGGAATCAAAACAGGCAATTACTCTTCCATTTTCCACCTGGCAACTTTTCGGGGGATGAGCAAATTTGCATTCTTCATCGGAGCGTGAGCACGTTCCTCTTTGAAACTGTCTGCAGACTTCCAACGTCAGCCATTTTGTATCTCTGACTGGGGCAACGTTCAAAGCCATGGTGATAAGGTAGTTTGGGCTGTTAGTTTCTGTTAAATGATGAAATCAATCCAAGTTCTAATGATTCCAAAACTACTGCTGTGAAAACTCCCACATGTAAGTCTGAAGGTGAGCGATAGATTGCTTAATGAAGTCCAATCCAGGGAGCGGAGTGAGGGGAGAATGTATCGGCAGGCAGTCACTCATCAATCAATATGTCCCACTTGAAGACAGTGGACCGCAGTGGAAGCATGCTCTGTGTCATCTCCGGCTTTAAATGTCCAAGTCTCTTGACTGTTTTGCAGATATAACTGTTTTTAATAAAGTGACTTCAATATCATGGCACTCCTTGGGAGAATATTAGTTCTGACACTCACAGCTATTGACAACGATGGAAAATAAGCCACTCAGATGTTCATATTTTAGCAGGATTTCTTTTCCTTCCCCCTTTTTAAATTCTGAAATGAAGCGATTGGCAAAGTCAGACAACTGAGGTATCTTCATCCACTCATAAGGTCAGGGTAAAGTATGTTTGACAGACAGACAAGATGTGAACACCAAAAGAGCTCCCAGGCTGCAGTTTCCAGCAAAAGTGACTTCACACAGGCACTTCTAAAATCATGAACCTGCAAAACACAAATAAAACAACTGATACCCAAACTCCATAGAATCAACACTTTAACAAACTATTTAACTCTTATCGAGAGTTTGCAAATGTGCTATTGAGTGCTTTGGGCATTGAGTATAATGAGAAAAGTTATACATTAAGAAACAAAAAAAAACAAAACACGAAACTGAAACCGTACGGCAGAATGATCTAGGCAGCAGTCCAAAAGTTAGGAATGACTCAAATAGATGAGTGTGGGAGACACAATAATTAGGCCTTCTGAAACAATTCAATCTAATGTGCTTAATCGCCAAAACAGTGTATTAGAACTGTGGTTTCCAATTAATTTCACATTTAGGCTATTGATTTTATTGTTGGGAATGCTATAAACAATTATTTGGGATAATGTCTCTCCTACATAAAAAAGATATTGCCATTTTGGATGAAGTGTGGGCTCCTTATTCGTTATGTCCTTTCTTCTGTTTTACAGAGCTTTGAACTTAGAGATGGATAGGTAAGAGCATCCTGACATTTATTTTCAGATATCTTAATATGTACTCGCCACCACTGTTATTTACTTAATGTTAGTCTTCCCTTTATGCTGTAAGCACTCTCGGGGTGAGAACTATTCTTCGTAGCTTTCACCTCTGTTCCCCTAGAGCCTCAGTCCATGGTATATATAAGATCCTCAAGAAATACTTATTGACTGATTTAACTGATGCCTGAATGCTTGCATGTAAGTCAGTTTAAGTTTAGTTCAGTTTAGTTTTTAACTGAGTCATCATCTAAAAATGCTGTTACGTGGAATGCCGGAGTTAAAACACATCTATAGCACACATATAATTAGAGTTCAGATTTCTAAAATAAGCATCTCAATTTCTTTTAATTTTTTCAAAGCTTATCACATTATTGGAACACTAAAAATTTATAATTACTGGGACAAGCATGCATACAGGGCTGAAGTCCAGAAGCTGATCACTTTCATAAATTATATATGCCACATGCTACCCCACATCCTTGCTTAGCCTTGAGGTCCTTCTAGAGAATTTATAGCTAAGAAGAACTTAATGAAAACTGAACATCAGTTATTTAAAATTGGCATGAAATTTTTTTTTTTAAAAAAAAATAGGCATGTACCAAATAAGTTCAGATGGGGTCTCGAATGTATCTGATCAAGGCACATTTCTTTAGCAGGACATGTCTTGGGACTGTCGGGGAAATGCTACTTCATCCCAATAACTTTTTCACGTAGCAAAAGTGTTTGCATGAGTGATAATTGTGTGTGCATTTAAGGAAACAGGCAACCTTGAAAGCTATACCACAGAGCAAACTTCAATTATAAAATATTTGAGGGATCCAGGCAGGCTCCTGCATGTCTGTTTGGCAGCATTGTGTTCACAGCAGCGAACATCAACTAGCTTAAGTTCGGGAGCTTAAGAAGATGAGTTTAATAACCAGATCCACTCTGGGTCAGGTTTCCTAAACCAGCCTGGACCTGCATCTTCATTCCCTCCAACCCCCACCTCTAATCCCAGGGGAGATCAAAGGGTGAGGAGAACAAGGGACAAGGAGACATTCCTGCCTGTGTAAGTGACACCAGGCACTAGGATAAGGGGGTTTCAATGATAGGCTGAACATATTCAGTTTATATCTGCAAAATACTATTTAGGGGCCCTGAGTCCTATGTACCAGGCCCTGGGATAGGTTACAGGAGAGCAAAGATGAGATAATGCTCATCCTCCAAGGCTGTGGACTCTCTTCCAAGGCTCCACATGTAGGAAAGAAACAGGCAAACATGAGTATTTATGCATAGATGGCAGGAATAATTCCTCAGATATGCCTAAAAGCCACACAGGAGCCATGCTTCCATGCAGTCCAGTGAATGGTATATGTTTCTGCTTATACTTACAGATTGAAAAGACATTTATCCCCCCTGGGAGAAACAGATTCTCATTTCTCCTTACTATGAAAATCCCACCAGAATTTAGATTGTCAGACTCTATGAAGATAAACTTGCTCATTACAAAACAAATTGTGCATTTCTTTTAATTGACAAATAAAAATTGTATATGTGTTTCGTGTACAACAACATGTTTTGAAATACGTCTGAATTTTGGAGTAGTTACGTGGAGCTAATTAACATACGCATGAGCTCACATACTTGTCATTTCTTAGTTGTGAGAACACTTCAAATCTGTAAGTGAGATCATGCAGTATTTGTCTGGAAGATAAACTTGCCTTCAACAGCAAAGGTAGCCAAACTTCCTGACGGCCAGTCACTGGTAAGTCAAAGACGTTCAGGAAAGCAAATGGGTGTGCATGGCAGCACACATTAACATACTGCTGTCATAGCCTCTCCCGAACCCACTCTTTCCCACAGTTGTTCTCTGTTCCTATCTTAAAAGTTGTGTAGTTACCAGTACCAAAGGCACTGCCTCCTTTGGGCCACCACAAGGAGTGGGGACAGGCAGGCAGCTGTGGGGAAGTGGGAGATAGGAGAGCAAACTTGAATCAGGTTAGGGTGGGGCCACCAAAGGAGATGGAAGGGTCAGGACGGGGAAGGCCATGTTTTAACGTGGTCATTAAGGGACCGGACTGAAATATGCCAATGCAGAGACCTGATTGAATGTGGGCCCGACTAGACTGCAAGTTCCTGGGAGGAAGGGTGTGTGTTAGGGCTTCGCTGTCCAATACAGGGGCCACCAGCTACAGGTGGCTATTGAGCACTTGGAACGTGCCTAGTGAGACTGAGGGACTAAATTTTACATTTTTATTTATTCTTAATCTAAATTTAACTTAAAAACTGACCCTTGATTCCATTATTAAAAAACTTTTTTTTTTTTTTTTTTTTTTGAGACAAGAGTCTCACTCTGTTGCCCATGGTGTCAGCCTAGCTCACAGCAACCTCAAACTCCTGAGCTCAAGCAATCTTCCTGCCTCAGCCTCCCGAGTAGCTGGGACTACAGGCATGTGCCACCATGCTTGGCTAATTTTTTCTATGTATTTTTTTAATTGGCCAATTAATTTATTTCTGTTTATAGTAGAGACGGGGTCTCACTCTTGCTCAGACTGGTCTCGAACTCCTGACTTCGAGCGATCCTCCAGCGTTGGCCTCCCAGAGGGCTAGGATTACAGGCATGAGCCACCTCGCCCGGCCTGAAAAACTTTTAAGTATGATTAGACCAACTTGAGTATATGAATCTACTTTTTCAATTGCAAATTCTATGAAATCTAAATACAGCTTGAGTATTTCCAATGAAAACTTATCATCCAAACAGAGATGTGTTATAAGGGTAAAATACCCACTGAGTTCAAAGACCTACTATGAAAAAAAATGTGAAAATATCTTATTAATACTTATTACATAGTGAATTGATAATTTTTAACACATCAGGGTAAATATTATTAAAATTGATCTCATCTGCTTCTTTTTTATTACTAAAAAATCAGGAAATACTATGTAGCTCACATTCTATTTCTACTGATGGCACCGTCTCAGGGGCTTTTGCGTTTCTTCTATCAGTCAACGAACTTTCTGGAATGGTGGAAAGTACCCTGTCCTAAGAACCAGCTTCCAGCCTTTATTTTGCCATGGTTCCTTGTCATGTAACATTGAGTAGGTTTGTTTTCCTGAGATCGGCCTTTTTCATCTGTAAAATGTTGGTAATAGCTCCTGCCTATGTTTACATAGTTGCTGCATGAAAAACAGATTATAGGGGAAATAGAAAAGTACTTTGTAAACAGTAAAGTGATAAAAAAAAAAGTCACTTTATAAATATTTATTAATTAAATCCGCTTTCAGGCTTCCTCTCTCTCAGTAGTTCTGCATGGATGGATGAGTGGGTTGTGCCCGGGGTGGACCCACCCTAGCCACGGATTCTGAGAGCAGGACGGTGCCCAGAGATGGAAGGTCTGCCGCACAGGGTACCCGGGCCCCTTGTCTAGAGCGGGCCTCGCTTCTCAGACTGAGAGGCCCTCAGAGATCTCCCCCGGCATTTCTACAAAAGCCAACAGCCTGTTTTCTTCTTCCAGCTACTATTAGCAGGAAAGTGAGTGGAGCATGTCAGGGTCGAGCAGTCACGCTGGGTGGGAAGCACAGGTAGAACATTCTGGAAGCACTGAGGGGGAGGCTGCTTCTTTCGAGGGTGTGATGGAAACTTGGCTGCTGTTTCCATTCTGGGTGCCCTGGGTGAGCGGGGAGGAAGGGGCAGCATTTTCAAGTTCCTCGGCCCACAAGGACCCTTACTAATAATGCAACTGTCTGGAGAGGGCACCTTTTTCTAATTTCCAAAAAGGTTCCATGTGTAATGGCATTGGCCCTGGTAATATGCAGGTCGCCAGTAACCTTTCCCAGAAGTTTCTGGGCTGAACTGGGAAGCAGGCTCTCCACTCACATTTATTTTCCAGTTCTTTCTAAGCCCGTCTCACTGGTTTGCCTTTTCTATTTTCTTTACATCTTTCGACTTGGGTTTCAGTTTTATTTCCAATGTCCCAAACAATCCCACCCTAATTGGCTCCTCCCTGTGCAGAACCCAGGCAGACTTTGCAAGTAGCTGCCCTTGGTTATTTCTCTGGCCTTCCATTTCCTCCTCTTCCCCGGCATGCCCTTTCCTCTTCCTCTTCGCGCACCAGAAACCTGCCTGGCTAAGCCCCCTCATGGCAGAGACCAGGAGCTTGCCCTGCAAGGGCCATCTGACTCTCTCTTGCAGCCCCTCTTTTAACACTGCCTGGAAATTATTTTCTGATAGATGTCATTACTCCTTAACTCAGAAGACCTGTACACGTCGATTTCTCCCACTGCCCCCGCCCCCAGTGTAAACTCCTACAGGGTTTGCCCGTGTATATAATAGACTTTCTCTATTATTTTTGAACCCCCCGAGTGCAGCTCAGTACCTGGTATGTAGAAAGAACATGCTGGACAAATGTTTGTTGAATGAGCTCCTGATGCTCCTCCAAGGAACATTTGCATTTTACTGTGGACCAGAGTCTAAGGTGGAAGAATAATGCTCCGAATAGAGC